TGCTTCATTAAAAAAGAATAGTACTGGGTGATGATTGAAGGTGAGACGAAAATCCGGACTGCAGTCGGATTCGAACCAGCGACCACCCAGTACAAATACTAGTCTGCCAAACCACGGCTACGTTAGATAGTCAAATCATAAAAAAGATTAGGTATATGAATGGTATGTTCATCACCTTCGTACACAACTGTGCAGCTTTAGAAAATTTAATCACTGAAGAGAAATAATTTTTAAATGCAACTATAAAACCTGATGAAAAATAACCGAAAATATATTCGATTACGCTTTGTATTCTACACGTCCCTTTGACAGCAAACGCACATGACAATTTTTAACGTTTATAACTATACTACTCTAATAGTTGCGAGTAGGCAACTAGTTTCATAAAAGAACCACATTCCGCTCAATAAACCGATGAAGAACTAACATTCAAAAAAATTAGTTTCCAATACACTTGATAACGGCTGAACAGTTAATAAACTATACTCAACCAATAAAGTTCTCTCTACACTCTTATTGTCTCTGTGATGAGCACACTACCATTGGAAATATAAAAGTGGTCTCAATCTCGTCAAAAAATTGTTGACTGACTTTTAGTGGCGTCATATCTTACCTTTGACTAACTGTACATTCTCAGTTAAGTAAAACCTACTCAAATCACCTTGAGTTTTATCGTCTACATCTATATAGCATTATTATTTACCTAGGTGATATGAGATAAGTTTATACTGGCAAATAATTCCCCAAAATTGATGCTGACCTTCATAACTTTAACGGACTTGCTAAGCTGAAGGCACACGGCCAAGCATCTACGCCATTTTAGCACGTTGTCTTGTTGTATGGCATTGCTAGTACACGATTCTCTAGCCAGCTAGTAGGAACGCGTCGGAATTTTGGCACGTGTTAACGAATATACTATTCAATCTGCCTAGTCTATTGTGTTCTCCCTTCATCTCGCACTTGTACACAGAAAAGAACTAAAAGTGAACAGTTGCATACCTGGTTATCAAATCTCAACTTGTGAAATTTAGAAAGTCCATTTCTCTTGAATTTAACCCCTGTGATTTCGAGCAAAATCAAAATGTACACTGAATCATCTAACAATCCATGCATATTGCGCCTTTCAAGTGTAAGATAAAGCTTCAGGATCGGTCTTCAACTACTCAAAGTCTAATGATACCGAGGAAAGTGATTCAATCTGTTGACGATCTCACATACTCCGTAACTTGCATCAGTCAAAGTAGATTGATTGCTGATGAAAATGCAGCCCAACTGTAAAACGCCCATCTAGCATTTGCCAAGTCGCGTCATCTCTGGCACCAACTAGCGAAATATCCAACTACTTATTATTAAAAGACAACTACACTATGTTACAGTTCACTCTGCACTTTTGTTATACAGTTAGGAGATATACCCGTTGAAACTACAAGATATAAAGAAGACACACGTCCCTGACTACACCTGTCTTCGCATCACTGCCGTAAAATTACCTTCTGCCAATTGAAAAGATTAGGCCAACAATACTAAGCAAGATGATCAGTGAGCTTGCAGACCTTCAGAGAATGCGGCGGCTTCGACAAGCACTGCACCTGTCAAGCAACCACCTACACTGCTGGTGCATAACCATAACTTTTGATGAGTCGACCAACAAGCAATGCTGGCCAAATTTCTGGCATTTTACGTTATGAGCAAGTGCAGTAATTTTGAACCACTCATAAACGACCCAAGTACGCTCATTCAATTCACCTCATTCACCCATTGTGACGAATCTGCGAAGTCCTCTCAATATATCTGCAAATTCCACGGCTAGTTCACAAAGTCTTTTAGGTATACTTGTGGCATTGTTGCTAAGCTTGAAAGCTAATGGGACCATAGGTGAAAAAGATGGGACTGTGACTCATTCATAAGATACACAACTAGAACGATGGATGGGACATTTCGAAGAACAGCTTCAACTAGCTTACAACTACTATTTCCTTGCTCCCTATCCAGTCACATTATCAATGGAAGATTGAGATACGATCCACGACGCTTGCAGAAGTCGAAAAGCTGTAGGTAACCTGAAATGAGGAAGGGTAGCAGGGCCACACAAACTACTTCCTCAAGTATTTAAGCATGGTGGTAGACCATTTCTAGTCAAGCTAAACAAAGTGTAAACCACTGCATCCGAGTCAGATATAATCGCTTCTGACTGGTCTCAATCACCCATTGTCCCAGTCTTCAAGAAAAGGGAGAAATTCTCATGAGAACTACATTGGAATAAGCCTGAAGAAACCAGCGTCAGAGATTCTAGGTCTTTTGATCGTTAGACAACTGACTGAAGCTCAAGAACAGCAAACCCGAGAAAACCAGGCAGGCTTCAAAACCTAAACGTGGGTGTATTGACCAGATATTCGTCCTCCACCAGGGTCTCGAACACAAACACACTTACCGACACCCGACACCAACTGTATCTCCCGTTCTCAAGGCAGTATTCCACTCCGTTGATCGACAGGTCTTACAGAAGTCCCACTGATTGAGATGTCAAGTAAGCACATCACTTTGTTAAACCCTCTGTACTCGAGCACCTGTCAGTGTGTCTAGAGCCTATGGTCAGTTGTGTACTTCGAGTAGTGTCCGACAACGATCTCCACTCTCTCTCTCTCTCTCCATTCTTACTCAACTTCATCATACACGTACATACGGAGGTCTCCTCTCGTCCTTTGACTCCACAGGAATTCATCATATCAAATCACACTCCTTCGCACATCTATAACTCTCAGATGGCAGTCCTGCTAGCTGACAAAGTCGATAACATACACTTTCTTCAACCCCTTTAAGCAGCCATTTCAAGAATATTTAGAATGCATCCCCCCTACCCAAATCCAAATAGTTGCTCCACCACAGGTCCTCAATGAAGCCTTGTCTACCAATAGAGAGTGGAGCGGTTGAGCTCCTTGACCACTTCACTTACATCGGAAGTCAGATCAGCCATGGTCGGTCACTGATCGACGAAATCTCTGCACACTTACCTAGGGCTCGATTGCTTCCCACCAACCTCCGACATTTACAGTGCCACCGTGAAATCTGATTGTTAATTAAGGATCTATTATACTGTGTTGGGGTTCGCTCTGTTCGACTGTATGGCTGTAAAACATGCTCATTAAATGTTGAGGTAGGCTTCAGATGTTGACCACCTTCGCCTTCGTAGCATAGGCTATGCGAAGTACATTTCGAAGCTATCACCAATACCAAAATACAGTCCCAGCAGAAGTACGAATGGGTTCGAAAGGGGCTCAGAGTGACCAGACTAGGAAGTGGCATCAGCCTACGAAGTCTCTGACGGTTGGTCTTAAACATGTAAGGAGGTGTAGAAAACATAGCTAGGGTCTTTAAGACAATAGGAATGACAGGGCTGAAAATCCGTCACAATAGCTTACCTGTATTAATTTTTTTTGACGCCCTCTAAAACTTGAACATTTTCATCAATTTTCATTCGTCAAGTTTTTTCTCCTTTCATATACTTTTGTCTACTTCGGTTTCACTCCTCAACCCACCTATTGCGAAATGTGGCAACGTGAACCAATGCACCTATGTGCGAGGTCCTATATTCTTTTTATCTGTCTGTACTGTATAAAACCCAATGACGCTTGTTATCTTCTTTTTCTTCTTCAAAATAACCACAGAGTATCTTGACTGAAACAACAAGAACACTGGATAAGGCTGGTGAAAATAGTCAGGGTAAGACAACACTAAATTCATTTGCTTTCTGTGATTTGGCATTCAGTTTAAAACATGACTAGTATACCCAAGGTTTCTCCTTCTGTGTAACAGTCAAATACCTTACAGTCGCTCGCGTTTGTTAGTATACTGGTTGTTCATTTTAGTAGTCTACAACAATCAACTATTTAAATCAGTACTTTCCAAGAGAAACAAAACACGCTCAGCCACCTTGTGCAAACCTGTACAGTAGAAAATGACCCACACTTATTGTTTATGAGAGCTAGTTAAACTATCTGACTCCCCAAACCTCGGTAGATGGAGTGGGCTTCGGACCTACTGGCTGATAGTCCCCTTCGTAAACCACTGAGCAACAGTTTGTTCTTATCGAGCACTCCAGTTAACTCTCTCATTGTATTGGACGACGAAACGTTAACAGGACAGACAAATATGATATCCAGGGATTAATGCATCTGTATCACTGTGATCAATTCTGAACAATATCACTGTGAGTCTCCAACAATTAAAATCCGACTTATTATTGAAAACATTAAAGCCAACCAACCTACACGACTTAAGGTAACAGTCAAAAACTTCATAGATTGGTGGCATATCTTCATCTGATCATCCTTAGCTTTTTTCAAACCTAATTCTACTCCGATTAACCTTTTTCATTAAGGTAAATGTTTTTAACAAACACAAGCAGTGCTTTGAGAACCCCGATGATCGATAATCTCTAATTTCCTGATGTTTTTCACTATTAAAAGCTATATCACACAGACTAATATGAGGATAGAAAGGGCTGGTTTGAGTGACAATCACCCATGGTTGGAAAATACTAAGCTAAACTATCTTAACCGCGATAATTTCTCATCAGTCCTATACACCTGATACAACCTCCTAAACAGGTGTATTGGTTGAAGAAATCAATAAGCCTTTTTATACGGTTGGATAAGTGCGAGTAAAACACCTATAATAACAAAATATACTCACTCAGTCCTAACTTCACAGCTAGACACTGCATCAAACTATTCTATCAACCTGAGTAAAAGATGACAGACACAAGAGTCATTAGAGGAAAGTGAAACTGCCCTACAAAGAGGTTTATTCATCCTTGAAGTTAACTACTCTGGTTATCAATAAGTACATTCTTCTTATTCATAGTCCCACGCTAACTATGAATTTCCGGAGACAGAATTAGCTTGTAGCTGTTATCACATAATCCAAGCTAAGCTAAACGTGAGATCAAATATTACCACCAGCAATAACCGAAATCTAGAGAGTAGTGCAGTGTTCTCTTAATGAACTCCCCCCCCCTCTTATATGCTAAAAGTAGCATCGTATACACCATTAATTAGCTTCCTATTAACCATGTAAACAATTGAAAAAGTTGAATACAATAGACATTTCAACCGAAGACCAAACAAAACAGATTTATATTCGAAAACACATTAAAATGTAGTTCTTTTTTCTATGCAAACCAGTTAAAATCATAAAAAGTATCATTCAACCCTAGAAATTGAGACTAAGTATTTACAAAATACCACAGGTAAGAGTTTATTCAGGTTCTGGAAAATGTCTTAAAAGTTTTGTAACTTGTCGAGCTGATAATGGACTCATTGAGTCATGAGTAGGTACCACACCACCTGACTTTCTCCTCTGTTTCTTTAAATTTCTATCTTTCTAAACAAAATGTGATCAATAAAAACTGTGTCCAACCTCCATAACCTGAACACACTTATTAAATGTGTCTATCACTTTTGTACAAGGACGTTGATCAAAATCACTTCCCTTTAGGCAAGCTAACATTGATAGCATTTCGTCTACACAAACAGCTCCTTAGAAGAAAGAAGTAAAGACGATAAAAACCAATAATAAAAACTTACTTCTTGTCTTATCACCATGTTCAGCTACCCTGTTTTTAAGAACAGGTATCTTGTAATAATCATATTTATAATATTCAAGGTTAGGGAAATCAGTTGTAGATCGTTTGTAGAGTTTACTGCACACATCTGTTAACTTCATTAGGAAGTAGTCTCCTGAAAAATAAAACAGGATAATACAGTTACTACTACATTTCTTTTTTATACTTTGATGATGATATCATTGGGAAAAAAGGACTTGGTCAACAGCTGAATTTTGTAGCTTAGCCGGTACAATATCAACCTAAAACTCCATTTTGATTCCTTCCTTCAAATTCAGTGACTATTCACTGACATAAAAATGGTAAAAAGGGTTGTCATCGCTAAACACATACAAAGATTGAAGTAATCTGTCTGTAAAACTGGACTTTGATAGTAAATATACATCTGAAAAGTCAGAGCCGGATGAATTTAAACATGTTTACACACTTAATTACTTAACTATATTACTTTAGGTAAGACTAAGAAAAAATGAATTCTACCGATAGTAGTAAATTACTCATAAATTATTATCATCATCATCATCAAGATCAACATGGGATCAGGTACTGCTGCGTAATGGTTCAAGTTGCCATACTTTATCATATCAGCACATCAAGTGACAAGGCAATAAAATGAAAGATGAAGAAGGAGGGGAAAATCGGTCAAAGGAAGTAGAAGTGATAAAAGAAAGGAAGGAAGAATGAGATGATGAGATTAAGTATAGCGGTTAAGATGAGGATAACGTGTGAATGCATCTGCGTCGCTGATATCAGTTGTGAGCCATATTGCCTACAGTCTCCAAATGCTAGTTTCTCTTGTCCCGTGGATCCCATAAATTATATCCACTTATTATTAGAAAATGTTATCTGGTGAACAAGAACTCAAATTCTACAATCCCATTGAATCAGCTTACTAAAAATCTATGCAACCTTTTTATGAACTCATTTGCTCATCCATTTATGAAAGTATAATCCTCATCGAAATAGAAAAGAATTACGTGTTAGGTAGTTAAAACTTCATAAACGTAGTGTTCACAAAAACCACTAACTCCACAGACTTTATAATGTTTAAGGTGTTACATCCGTTGTTTACATGCATGCTTATGCAATTCATACATCTCTACTGGCTACACAATTTTACACAAAACTGTAGATGTCATTGGCTCGGATACTGAACTTTCAACCAATGAGTTTCGTGTTCAAATTCTGCTCCACTTAACTCGGCCTCGGCACCATAGGCCACTATACAACATGTGCGGTTCGTAACCTAACACAGACTTACATGAGGTTGCTTACTTTTATTGTACTAATCAAAGAATTCCTAATCACTTTATAAAACCATAATGATGCACTGTTTAGTACTGAAAGTTGTTAAATTAAATGCTATTTCATTCTTTATCTGAATTGCAGTAATATCTTCCGTGGACAAACTCGATACCAACAGAGAAGTTTCGTTTTCATTTCATTGTGCAGCCACCCTTGTGTGATATGATGTGTTTATACTTACAAACGAGAATGACCCAACAAACAGCTGCTACCTTGACGTGGTGGTCAGAATCGCACACCACAATGGCTCAACGAGCTACGTTGATTGAAGCGTTTGTACCACGGGATCCTATCACGCCATAAAACTTCGTTGGACAGTGGTAAGACGAAAATCAGTTACCGTTAAAGTGTAAACTATTACATTATGGTGGGGGTGTGGCAACAAAATTATACTGCTGGATAGACGGAGTTTGATAGCACCAAGGTGTTTCCCGTTGGTAATCAATAGTCTATGTTGATATTGTCTTCCCTTTGGGAACAGGAGTTAGAAAAGGCCAACCCCGAAAATAACACATTTCTCTTCACTGAGGCATTTCGGTGCCGGTCGTATAGGCTTTATGACTGGATTCAACACAATCAAAGTTAAATCTCAAACTTCCCAGAAGACGTATTTGACCAGCCTCAAGTAGATGTCTCATGGGTTATGCGGTCACGCATTACTATTACAAGTCAAATGTCTTTTTCAGATGCCTCAAGAAGAAATAACCTTCCACAGTGTTGACAGCCAAGAAGCGCTAGTCGACCTCAACTCTGACAACACTCAAGTTGTTTCAGGCCATTACCAATCTTCCACATCTTTGCTTTTTAATCACTTTTCGTTTTTCGATCCCAGCTGATAACTGCTACCCACAATTGGTGATTTAACCTGCATGTCACAATGACCTAACAAGCTACACTAGTTGCAACGCTTGTTTCCTCTAGATTCTGCCACGCCAGAAACGTCTGTTGGACAGTGGCCAGACGAAAAGCAGTTATCGTTTTACGCCACAACGAGGGTCATACGGTAAAGTCGTACTGCTGGCTGGACAGCGATGTGACAACAGTATAGCTTTTCCCGCAGATGACTAACATTACAGCATTGAAGCTACCTTCCTTAAAGGGACAAGGGTGGAAAAGGTCGGCCACAAAAATTCCACACTCTGCCCTTTCCTGCGGTAAGGCTCTTTTTATCCGGTGTTAAAACAATCAAATCTCAAACCAACAATCTTAAAAAATGGTGTGGCAAGTTTCAAACAGATGTCCTTTAGGTTTTTTGGTGACGCAAAAGTATTTTTCTTCCTCTTCTAGGTGCCCTGCAGAAACAACTTACACGATAAGAGCAGACAGAAATAACCGACCAACCGTACACTCCTAGTAGTATACAAAACCCAATCAAGGATGATTTCACTTACTCATTTCTGTCTCCTTTGTCGTCACCCCCGATACCACTATTGGGCTATTTACAACTTGCTTAAACTCTTACTCTGAAACCATTGCAAACAATCCAGGTCAGAAAAACACCATTTAAAGCCCCCTAAAACCCCATTGTCGGTACCACATTGGAGCCTTCAACTTCTCAACCCTACGCCAGTAAAACAGCAGACATCGCTCGCCGGAACTCTGGAGTCTCAATCCATGGATATATGTTGTCTCCGAGACATATACAGGACTCTAATGTCCTCATTCACTCTAACTCACCTGGCTATTGTAGCGAATCTTCAAAATGCACCCTACCAGTATCTAGAGACACAATGGTTAGCCCTCGTGGACTTGCTGGTTTAGGCATAACATTGAGTTGTAGGGCAGAAAGTGAGCTTCTCGAGCGGATACTAGACAACATCTGTCTATGTGCCGTTCGACTGGATAGATCTGAAAGAACTAGAAAAGATTGTGAGACAAAACAACGTATATTCGTCATTTCTACCTACGCACCCACTGACTGGAGTTCTGATGATACGAAGGATGAACTATATGGATAGCTGTCGATTATAATACAGAAAGCTAAACGCCCAGGTACAGTTATGATAGTAGCCAACTTTAAAAATCAAGTAGGGAAGCTGAGCTAATCAAAAAGACATCCTGAAAGTATCTGCGGAATCACATGCCAACGAGCCGACAACAGTGATCGTCTCTTGAAACTTTGTTCTAACAATCACTCGTTTCCTACTAGCAAAAACTTCAAGCATAAGGAGAGACACTATCTCACATGGCGTCTGCTAACACCAAATCAACAATGGACACAGATAGATCATATTGCTATAATCCATAGTTGGAAAGGATCGGTGGGAGGACTGTAAGTCTTTCTAGAATCCCTGTTTGAACTCCGATCACGCGCTTCTACAAGCTAGTGTATGTCTCAGCCATACTGGTCGTGGGAAGCAGGCAATAGTAAAGCATTTCTATGGTCGACTGGGAGACAAGGACCCTAAATACGTATTGAGGGAGGATTTGCCTAAGCATTTATTTGGATATGAAAGCAATGCTCACCTTGAAGAAACCTGACATGATATTCAGTTTGCTGTATAAACAGCGGTAAAGACAGTTGTTAGCCTACAACCCGAAGGTTAACAGACGTCAGTAGATTTCCGCAACGTCATCCGAACTGATTAATGCGAGAGAACTGATCCCAACTGGCTCTGATCCCGATGAAAAGTGAAATCATCTCAAACAAGAATTGACTAAGAGTCTTCGTTATGGTAGCAAGCAGTGATGGGTGGTTAAAGCAAGAGAGATGGAGATGGAATCAGCGCTGGATAACACTCACCAATTATTTAGGCATATTAAGGAAACCGGCAAGAGGAAGAAGATGGCTGGTGAAACTATCACCGACAAGGATGGGACGCTGACAACCTCCTAGAACGTTGGGCGAAACACTTTGAAGTACAGTTTAACTGGCCATCACCAACACTTCAGTTCCCAAACATCCAGCCAACATGAACCTGAATAGGACGTAGATATCGGTGCTCCAACTCTCTTTGAAGTTGAAAATACTATATCGAACCTGAAACAATGCAAAGCAGCAGGACCTGACAATTTGCCACTCGAAGTTTTCAAGGATGGAGGTAGGTAATTGCTACTTAAAGTGACAGAAGTACTAAGTAGTGTACGGAATCAGAGGTAGTGCCGTCAGACTGACTTACTTCTATGATTAACCCAGTCCATAAGAGCAAAGAGAAGTCTTCTTATGATAACCTTAGGGAGGTCAGTTTGAATAACATTGTATACAAGATCCTGGGGTCCACAATTATCCAACGCCAAAATGCAGCTCGAAAACAACGAACTCCAGGAAACCAGGCAGGTTTTACCTCAGGACGGGTGTATATCGATCAGATTTTTACCCTCCGACAGGTTCTGGGACACAGGCATACTTATCGGTGGCCGACACTTCCCATATTTCTTGACCTGAAGGCAGTATTAGACTCTGTGAGGTGTTATTGTTGGGAAAGGAGTTCCGAGCAAGTACATAATCCTTATCAAAGTTCTCTCCTCGAACTCATACGATCATGTAACGGCCTACGGAAAACTGTCACCAGAATTGATGACAACTAGTGGTGTCCGGAAGGAGTACCCGTTGTTACGGTTTCTGTTCAACTTCATGATAGGTGTATTGATGGACATAAACCTAGGTACTTCTGAATTCGCAAGGACTGATCCACTTCATTGAGGTCATCCGGCTGACTTGGAGTTTACAGACGATGTCATCCTGCTAAGTAAAGATGCTGAGAAAATTCAATGTCTTCTGAATGCTTTGAGCAGAAAGCTGAGTATATTTGGCATGTGCAACGCATCAGTCAAAAGAAAGATGCCTCAGGATCGGTCTGAAACTACTCA